ATCTTGAATGTGGAGTACGAAAGTGCCATGCATGATTTTGCGTTATGCATATGAGCACATGTCTGTTTCATTTGGGTTGCCCGATAGTTGAAGCAAAGATGTAAGAATGGTTATGGTGTGAAATGATGTATATAGTGGAAAGATGTTCCTGTTAAAATCATCTTGCTAGACTAACTTTTCCTCTTATGCTACAGTTTCTACCTGCTGTAGAATGATGAGGTCTGCAATTCTCTATACAAATCTCATGTCAGCTAATGCTTGTGAGCCTTGTATATGAGTTCGTCCTCTTAGTATGACTTTTATAATTGTAGTTTATATTTTGTTGCACTAGGTCTGTTTTGTGAATTCTTTTGGTTTCTATTGCATGCATAAAATGTTTCTTATGGATTTGAGTTATTCTTATGCATAAAATGTCCAGGGCTTGGGACCCTGGATGTTGTTTTGAGGATGTTTTAGTGGAAGAGGAGGTTGGTAGAGGAGATCTGTTGGTCATAGACTATGGCACAACAATCATTGGAGGAGGCTAGGCATTGGGGATTGAGCGGTAGGGCACTGGTGGAGTGTTCAATTGATCTTATCTGAGTAGACATTTAACTTTTTAGCTTTAAGATGATCCCAATTGAATTGGATCGAACTTTGGAGGCTTGTTTGAGCTGATATGGCCAACCTGATCAAGTTCTGGAAGCCTATGTGACTTGGCCCTATAATGGTTCAAATAAGACTCAATTTTATCTTGGCTTAAATGCAACTCAACATTACCTTGGCCTAGATACCACTTGACTCAACAGGCTTGGGCCAAAATTTTCCTTTTGCTAATCTTGGGCAAACAAGAATTCATTTGTAAACATCTAAAAAAATCACGAGGGATATTAACATTGTAAAACTAACAAGATGCTCATTGAGTAAATGATATAGAAGTATATATGTATTAGACCCTAAATAATTGGGACTTCAGACCTAGTTTTCATTTATCATTATCATTTCTTACTTGGAGATAATATTGGTACCTATTATTTAGCATTCATTGTTTAGGATAAGATTAGAGAAAATCATTTAAGATGGTATGAGCATGTGCTTAGGAGACCTTCAATTGGGACTCACAAGAGGTGAAATGATTAATGTAAGATAGAGGAAGGCCTAAAAAAACTTAAATAGAAACTATAAATAAAGATTTAAGTACTCTGAATTTGGTTAAATATATAAATTTTTACACATCTCAAAGGCGGCAAAAGATCCATGTACCCAACTCCAAATAGTTGAGACTTACTGCTTTATTGTTGTTGTTGTGCTCATGGATTGTGCTTCTAATCCCACATTATCCTTGCATGCCTTCCAAGTGCATGTTATTGATTCCTTGAATTATAGAAACAATGTCAGTGACACTGTTGCCTTAGTCAGATGCAATGTTGCACCTCATTCTCTGTATGATATGCCTTGTGTGCTACTTGAAAGCATTATAAAGTACAATAACAAGTGTCTTATAGGAGTTTTGCATATCAAGTGATCTCAGTATCATGGTTCTTCCTAATTTTCAATAAAAGATACAGTAACTTGAGCTTGTGAAGTTTCATATCAATGAACCATTGATTCAGTTATTTTGCCTTCATGTTAAATGTAAGAAAAGAAAACCTGGGAACAATATCACGCCGCAAACAGATGTAGGCCCACTTTGGGAACAAGGAAATTTAAGGAGATGGTTTTGTTATGAATACTCATTGCCCGTGGCCTGCTCCCAATCTCACACCTTGTGCGTCCATGTCAAGTCAGCAATTGACCCAACTTGGCTACCACTGAATTGGGTAAGAGTTTGAGTCTCCCATGACTTCCGTAGGGGTTCCATTGGAATCACAGGATTAGGGTCACTGGCTTTCTTCTTCGATCAAATGTGGTCCCATTCCCTATTTAACTGATCACATTACCGTCAGAGTCGCTCAAAAGCCTTATAAAGCATGGTAACCATGGCATTTTGAATATAAAATAGTTTTTTTAATCGATAGTTTACATCTAAGTCAAGCTAATTTATTGGGATAACAACAACCTTAAAGTTGTGTTACTAAAAGGGTGATCAACTGAATGAGGCTTGCTGTTGCCATTAGTCCGATATTCTTGAGCAATGATATATAATTTAGTTTGATAATTTTAATCCCTAATTGTTTGGTTTATGATGCTTCTACTTCCCAGATGAAGTAGAATTTGTTAGAGACATACAAAGTACACTTGGCACTGTTTCAACTTCTCCTTTTAGTATATGACAAACATGTCCTGTATCTTGGATAAAGCTTTGAAGATTTGCACTTTGGGAGCGATTTTCATAAAATGTTTTTGCAGGTTCAGATCAGGTCCTCAAAAAAAATATAAATAATAAATGGAACAAGGGAATATTTGTGAAAAGAGAAAAATGTATATCTGTTCCAGTATAGTTTATAGGAAGTCATGTTTTGGGAACTTATGAAGGAGTGAAGGCATGAAACAATTGAAAATTGGAATCCTTTAGCTAAGTGATAAGTAAAAAATATATATTTTCAAGAAACAGTAAACCTCTAGTGTCTTGTGTTTCAATAGGTCATTTTTCTTATACATCGAGCACTAAAAATTTGGGCTGCTTGATTGGTTCATCCCTTGAATGCCTCAGGGGACTTTTGTGGTTATTGAGAGGCTCTGATCAAACTCTTCCTAGTTATTTGTGTCATCAAAGTGTTTGGTGCTAGATCCATGACCCAAAATTTAGTTTTCTTTGTGTAGATAGGTTTACATTTTATATATGTGGATATGTAATCTGTGAAAAGATAAAAGGATTTCAAAGAAAACCCATTTTTTTAGGAAACAAATGGATTAATAAACAAAAAGAAAAGGCTGAGAAGCTAAAAATGTTTGAGGAGTTAAGAATTTCTGAACTTGATAAAAACTGACTTCTGTTGGTTGTAGGTACTTCTACATGAGAATCATGATTATCACTTTTCAAAATTTATAGGTTTCGGTTTTCTGGGCAACAAAAAGAAAGGAACAAAATATAAAATTTGTTGCTGCTACTTATACACTGGCATTTCCTTGACCTCTCTTCTTTTTCCCTTTAAGTACAAATGCATTGACTTCTCTTATGTATACATGTAATTTGGGTGCCTGTTTATATAGAGCATTTTTTCTCCTAGAGTTACTCTGAGGGGCATGTCACTGCTGAAGGTCAAATTTTCAAGTCATTTGTATGGTAGTTTTAGGCAAAACTTTTTAAGAGTGATTTTTTTGACTTTATATTCAATAGTTTTAGGCTGTGCATCCTGCGTTGGTGGGAGACTCATTCACTGGTTACACCCTTTTTTAACTTTGACTTTATATTCGATATAAAGTCCTGACAGTCATGCTAACTGTCAGCTTTATCTGGCAGTGTAAGGACTGGATTGTAATCATTTAGATATCATGATTACTGATTCTTTGTGTTACCTCCAGGACTTGAACAAACCTTTGAAATCCTCTTTTCATATAATTTAAAATTTATGTTTTAAGTTTGTTATGTATTCTCTACTGTGATGCTGCTAAAATTTTTTTTTAACATATTTGTAGCTTATGTTCAAAAGAAACAAGCGAAGAATATGAAACGCAAGACAAGGCAGGCAAAAGCACTTGAAAATGCAAAGAAAGCACCCAGGACATTTACGGAGCTGTTACAGGAGGTATGAACATGTGCTTATCTGTTGGTTAAAATGTCCTCACACATCTATATTCTCTTTCCCAATTACCTCATTTGCAACAGGCAAACTTAGAGGCTTTGCCTCCACATGTTCCTTCCTATTTGAGAGCTGCAGTTGGCCCACCAAGCACATCGTCACGTCGTCATTTCTGCACTGTTTGTGGTGATGCTGCAAACTATACATGTGTGAGATGCGGAGTGCGATTCTGTTCATGTCGTTGTCAAGTTATACACAATGATACTCGGTGTCTGAAGTTTGTAGCTTGATCTTGACTTGCTCACTGCGCTTCTGTGGATTGAGTTCATACACAGGCCTCCTCAAGTTCAGCTTTATCAGAAGACTGAAGGTCTGCTGTGCTTCTCTGCACACTGTATCTAGTTTTTCTTAGAAGAATGGATATGCTTTTCCGGCTATTCCTTCTGTCATGTTTCCATTTTCAGATACTTGTAGAAAGGTAGTTAATCTGTCGGGGTCAGTTTCTATAAATCTGCATAGCGAAATATGTGTCTTCCTTAAAAGATATAGAGAAGAAAGGAAGGAAAAAGCAATCAACTCTGATTGCATTTGATCTGTCCCAAGTTCCATCATTCTTGTTGCTCACGGTCGCCTTTTCTGAACTATGGTTAACATATGTGCCTCATTTTCTGTGATTATAGATTGTTCATATCTTTGGGTCTATTATTCTGTTTTTGCCAGTAGGCGTTAGAGTCTGTTTGGTTACAAGGAAAAAGGCGTATAAATAAAAAGTTGTACCTTAAGAAATAAAGCTATTTGTTTGGACTCTGGATTGAGGAAAGTAAATGACTTTATTTTACTTCTATTATGTTGAAATTAAGCTTGGCCTCTTTTTGAAATATCTGATGTTAAAAGATACTGAAACTAGATTATGGAAAACCTCTCTTGACATTATTTTGGAGAAACAAATATGGAGGAAACAAAAGACTCACTTAAAGAAATATTGGAGAATATATTTTTCCAATTAGAATTTCTTTTCCACTCAACTTTAGATGGAAATGATTCTTTATTTGGACAATGTGAAGTCTCTTTTTTTTTTTTGCTTGAGTTTGATAATTTTTATGAGGAAATTTGGTGGGTGACCCATAAATCTATCTTTTCTTTTTATATGTCTCTGTTCTTCATTTACTTTGTCCTTGAAGCTATTTATTTCTTGCTTCATTTTTAAGACCACTGATCCTGTTCTTTAACCAGCCTTCCTAAAACTCGGTAGCTTCTCATATATTTTCCATCTTTCTTTCTAATGCACACAGAATAGACTGGACATAATTATTTGCTGCATTTATAGAGCATCTTGAATGATTTAAAGTTAATGAATTCCCAATAATATGTATTTTTCTGGGAGTACAGGATCAAGAACAGGGAAAGGGAAACAAACATGCATGAAATATCTGTGAGACTAGCAAATGAAAGACTCCCAACTCCAAAATTCTAAAGGAATGCTCACTCAGCATGCAGGCAGGTCAACGGGAGGCGCCTCCAGGGACTGCAGCTCTCCAACTCCATCGTCCACCAGGAACGCCATGGCCAGTCCCCAGGTGATGTGAACGTCCAAGTGGCAGTGCATGAGCCAGACCCCCGGATTGTCGGCGACGAACCGGATGACGGCCCAGCCGTTCACCGGCACGCCGACGGTGTTCCTCATCGGGGGGTCGACCAGGTTGAACTTGGCGTTGTCCTTCGCCGCGTTGAAGTTGCCAAACCCCTCCGCCAGGATGTAGAAGTCGTAGCCATGGATGTGGATGGGGTGGTTCTCGGCGGCGAAGATGTTGGTGCCTTGCAGCACCAGCTGAACTACCGAGCCGTACTTCAACTTGTACACCTTGGTGGCCGCAACCGGCTGCCATAGGCTACGACTGACGTTTTGGGCTGTGTAGTCGAACTGCACCGGCGGCACCGCTGGGAAGTCGGTGGTGAAGACGCCGGGCACGCGTTGGTAATGGGCCTGGAGAATGGAGTAGCTGTCGGGCAACACGAAGGAGACGTTGTTGATGCTGGCCGCCATGCGAGTGTTGTTCGGCCCCCCGCACGTCTTCCCTGGAGGGCAACCGAACAAACCCAGGCCGACGGTGAAGAAGAGGTTCTCGTCGACGGGACCGGGAATGTCGACGGTGGAGAGGCTCCTGAGGCCGGCGGAGAAGGCGGAGGCTGCGCCGGTGTCGTTGTAGGCCGGGAGGGCGGGGAACACGGGCGGAACACCTTGTCCTGGTTCCGAGCAGCCGCAGTCGTATTCGAGGATGGCGGTGGTCGTGGTGTTGTCGAAGGCCACGCCTTGCGCGCTCGCATAAGCCCGAGCGGCGATGTAGTAGCGGGACGCCGGCTGGTCCATGGTGACGAGCACATCGGTGGTCTGGCCCGGGCCGAGCATGAGCACCGAAGTGGTGAAGGGCTTGGTGTAGGACGCGTCGGCAGAGACGACGGTCATCTTGTGGTTGGCGATCGCGACGAAGAGCTCGGTGTTCAGCGCCGCGTTGATGAACCGGAGGAGATTGGTCTCTCCGGCCTTCACCGGAATCATTGTTGTGTCTGCAGATGGTGTTGCAGGAGGCGCAAGCACGGGAGGAGTCACCGACGCATACAGGATCAAACTTGGAACAACAGGATCCAGATAGTGATGTGGGTGGTGGTGGTGGGAAGGGAGAAGACAAGCACTCACCTTTGTTGGAGCAATTGTAGAGGTCACCGGGCTGGCCATTGATGGTGAATGCGTCGGAGATGTTGGGAGCTGCTCCGGTACGTGTTGCTTCTCGCACGACGTCGATCGGATTCCGATCCCACCATTCACCTGGAGAAGAGCCACGAATTTAAGTACGACTTCAGCTACTGCACAGTCTCAAGTCAAAACACGTGCTTGTGAACGGCCGCCCCACGGTTTGTATAACATGTCATGACTTGAGTTGTGAGATAAAGTGTTTCCCTGACAGGATTCTTCTCGTGGCAAGTACCAAATATACTCATACACTCGGAATCACTTTTGTATATTTATAAATGGATATACTTTATTTTTATGTCACTAATATGGTTCATGAGAAATGGAAAGATAATAGCTTCATAACACTTATATAGACCATAGGCTGTCAAATGATGTGGTTCCCCAACCTGTGATGATTGTAATGATAGACCGTCCTTTCTTTGCCCTGGAAAAAGGCGAGTGACATTTTTTGCTGCGAAAATATACCTTTAGAGTGAAAGTTTACAAGCGGCCCTAATAATACTCATAGTCATGCATCATTAGTTTTTGTACCTAATAATAATACTAGATTTGCTGGAAGTAGCAACATAGCTACATGCACACCTATTGAGGCACCCTATTGAACTGGGGTGCATCATGGACTAGTGTTTTCCACACCTCTTCGGATCATTTTTCTCTTCTAAGGTGCGGCAAAGCCATCATGCACATCATTCTTTTGCCACCATCCACGATAATTGCAGCAGTATGAACTTGACGGTGCTCTTTAGATTGGAATTGCAAGTGAAAAATGAAGTGTTAAACTGGTCAACACAAGAGTGTCTTGAACTGTGTTGAGAGTGAGAGCTGTGCTCTCTGGTTCTCATTTCAACTCTCGAGTTTAGCTGACCCACCACGGGGAGAGAGAGAGAGAGAGAGAGAGAGAGAGAGAGAGAGGTGTGTGCGTACCAAGGATGACAGGGACTTCTCTTTTGGGCTTGGTGAACGGGTAGGAGGAGTTCTCCTTGGGGAGGATGATGAGAGCTCCGTAGACGGTGGCCCTGAGCCATGAGCTGTGCGCGTGCCACCACAGCGTTCCCTCTTGTCCCTCGATCGTGAACCGGTACGTGTAGCTGCCGCCCGGCCTGATCGGGCACTGCGTCACGAACTCCGGTCCGTCGGCCCACGCCGTCCTCATCTGCCGCACGCCGTGCCTTGAACAGACACCCAACACCCAACCCTCCGTCGCTTAAATGCTTACAGCCGACAGTTTCTTTGCAGGAAGAAGCATGCATGGATGCACAGACTTCGTACGTACCAGTGGAGCGTGACGTTGTATCTCGCTCGGTTGACAACGTTGATCACCAGCGTGTCCCCGTTCTTCACCTCTATGGTCGGCCCCGGGAACTGCCCATTCACCGTGATGATGTTGTGGGCCTTGCACAGCCTCTTCACCGGCGTCGCCTGCACCTGCACCAACAGGTTCCAAGGCATGCAGTCGTAGCGAGCCAAGAGAAGCATGCACTATGATTCAAGATGGAAGATGACGTACCACGAAGTCATGATACTGGACTTCCGCGTCGATGTGGCGGAAGAGAAGAGAGAACAACCCTAACAGTAAAGGAAGCAGCCAGGAGGGCACAGCAATGTGTGAGCAAGACTCCATCGCCGAACTCAGTCCCGACGCTTGAAAGCTTCGAGGTGGTAATGGAACAGAAAGGGAATAAAAGGGGCCGTCTTATATAGAGGCTCAAAATGCAGGCAGGCTACATGAGTGTGATGAGATGGCTTTATAGTTGGCAGATTAGGTTTTGATTTGTGCTGGCTTTTCTAGTTGAACATATTAGTATATTGTGTGGTCAAAATCTCCTTGTTCAACCCTGTAGCAGTTGGTGCACCCACTTTGCTAGCCTTATTGTTGGATATAGTAATTGCTCAAATGCTTGTTTCACAAGTTTTCCATACGATGCACCATCATGATGATGGCCTTAACCTTTTGCATATATCATGTGTCAATACTCTCCGTATAAAATTGGTTCACTCGATGAGATCCACACATCGGCTTGACCATGGAATCCAACCACTGGTTGTCTTTTGACATTGTCAGGTACACAATGGTGAAAAGCTTCGTATTCATACTTCATACGGGCTCACCTTCTCGGAAGAGCCGCTTTGGTCGTGAGGTTTGGTTAGGGTGGGTGGACAAGGTGCAACTTTTGGCTCAGTCGATCTCATCTGACATCTCTCTACATGTAGAAAGATGAAGGCATCAAAAGTCCACGTCCGGGCTTCATTTCCACACCCTCCTACTCCCATTAGGCTGTTGCTTCAGGAAGAAGGTAGAGTGAGGGTGAAACATACGGACACGACTCATCTCGGCTTCTTGTTGTCTGAGTTCCATTTGCTTCTCTTCAAACCTCGATGCCTTTCAGTCCAGTCACCGTGGTTTCTTATCACATATAGAAAAGGGGATACGGCTTTATGTATCTTAATCTTTAATCTAGTCATGAGAGAGAAACTGGAGCTTATCTTTTGGTTAATCAGAAGAAAATGTCAACAGGTTCTGCAATGACGCGAAGATGAACGAGTAGAGCGTTGGCTTTCTTACTGCATCGAGACAGCCTCTGCTATGCGATCAATGGTGTTTCCTTACAAGGAAGACTTCAATCACTAGACTATGCGATGAATTATTGAGCTATTGCACTAGATAACCTAACACTAAAAATGTTAGGGCTGATGATCAAACTTGTGCAGTGGCAATGGCAGCCTTCCGATTCAAGGAACTGACAACACTGTAATGAGCCATTTTGTCAAAGCAATAAGCCAGCGAACAACCACCATCAAATCTTGAACCCGAAGATAATAGGCAGCAAAAAAGGACAGGACAGTCTTTGGTGGGACGAGAATGATTTTAGGTGGCATTTGACACTTCGACGTTCTGAATTATAGATCGTTGCTATCGACATTTGACGCATACGTCTGTCTGCAACTGAAACGAGGAAACGAGAAAGCTAACGAGCATTTCTACCAACAAGCAGATGGTGACGCTACGGCAAACAGCACTGATCCCTGGATCAGCCAATGGAAGCATCATTTCGAGCTCCCAACTACCATTCAGCCTTAGCTTAGAATTTGGTTCACTGCATCTGCTTCTCATGCAGTAATAAGAGTTTATTGGTCCGACAGTCAACAAACACCCGAGGATTAAATCTCAGGAGGAGGAAAGGAAGCAGATAATGTTGCTTGGGAAAAATAGATTATGGCCGGAGCATGACAAATTGTTGGTGGAGTTAGGAGGCGATGGTGAGAATTGTAACATTCGGCAGCAAGGAATACAGAATATTCAAGTACTTGCAGACTTGAAGCTACTATGTTGTTTTGTAATGCTCGAGTATTTGTTCACTCAGAATAGTCAACTTCATGTGTAAATTACTTAATGAAACAGAGTCATCACTAGAATCAATCTGGATGTGATAGGCTAGTGATAGATATATTATTATGACAAGTGAGAATCCAATAGAACAATGATCCAAATACACCCTGTCCAATGAAACTTGTGTTGCAGCACATCAAGCTGAAGGAATTGCTCTTCATTCATGTAGGGATGGTTGGCACAGCATCACGTCCTTCCCATGTTGTAAAACTGGATGGCCACTTCATGCGGATGTATTATCCAACTAATTTAATCATAATACACAGTAGCTCACAGAATTCCAGCCATCACACATGGAAATATGACGAGTTGTTGATCGAGTTTGGAAGAGTAGGCAAGAAACAGTGGTGAGGATGACTCCAATTTCATATTACTTTGACAACAACTAAACTTCATTTTATATGCATGATTACATATGCATAGTGATTATAGTCACAGCTGGGCCTGTTGGGAAAGCACACATATTTTGTCAAGGCTTCCAATTCATGGATTTTTCTTGTAATCCTCTGTCTTCTTTTCTTCGAGGGAAAAAAGACACACATAATTGAGTTGATGAGCTCGAACAGCTCTCACCTGCTACGACTGGGAAATATTCCTGAAGCTCATTGCCAACAATCATTCAACGACGACTAGCAAGAGATGTAGCAAAGACTGTAACTTTCTACAAAAGCTCATGAGTCCGTCTTTGATATCATTTTAGATACAAAGTACCTTACCTTTCGGGACAGATTCGACTGCCAATCATCTCCTCTAAGGGAGTAAATCGATTTGCAGTGAAATACCAATGTATCTGAAAGAGAAGTAAAATCTTGAAAGGCATCAATTGTACAACAGAAAGTCTCAGCAGCCCTTTTGTGATTCCGAAAGAAGTGAATCTCTAAAAGCATGCCCAAAAGAAGTGTCAAGAGTTAATAAAGGAAGTGTTTTAGAAAGTTATCCTGCATGAACAAAAGTTCCCACTTGACCTGCATGGAAAATGTGACTGTCAGCATAACACAAGTAGTATAGATAGAATAAAGCAGTATCCAAGTCATTATTGACAACATAGTTTCCAATCAAGTGAGGCCCCAAGAATTGGCTTTGCTTCTTTCATGATAACTGCAAAGTGAACATACAACTACTGTCTTAAATGGTAAAGCAGCAGGAGAAGGATTTGCCCTCTGACAGCTATTTTCTTCATGTTGATCCAAGCAGAACAGCAAAGTGACAACTCAATTCTTGTGTGGAAAGATATCATCCATGGAGTTATCTCAAAAGCAAACAAATTATCTAATCCCTTTGGACTTGATCGGATCAGACAGATTGGACAAAATGGAAATTAACAACCTTTCTACTCTCTCTCTCTCTCCCTATATATTTATATATATATATAAAATTATCCCTTCTTCACCTCATCTGTTCTTCTCATTCCACCATCAGCAAGATAATAGAGCTTTTAATGTCGGCTGTTCCTAATCGCGTCATGTCCCATCTCAACCTCATCGTTGGTTGTCTGCCTCTCCATGTGATTCCTCGTCCCTTCACAGTCCCATCATCAGTATCGTCGGTTGTTGTCCTCAAAGCTCGACAACAAAATTAAATATGTATTTATCATATTTTTATTTTTATTCTCCAATATTTTTTCTTCAAAAACAACCAAAAAAAGAAAGAATAATGCTGATTTCGTAGTAAGGCTAAATTTGTAATTATATTCTAACATTGACCTTTGACTTCTCTGTCTCTATTTTGTAGCAGTCTCCCCCTCCAAGTTATTTCACCATTCTATCTTCAGTAACCTCCATCTGTTGATTAAAATCTGTCACATTCAGCCATAAAAAAAACAAAAAATGAAGATTTGACTCAAAGCAAAGCCCTTCACATTGATTAAGATGTCGAACACCTTGTTTGTGAGCATACCTGCCATATCTTTACGTAATCTTTATACTCATCATTTGTCTTCTAAATTTGCCACATACAAACATCTACATGTTCTTACAAGAAGGGGTCAGATCACACCAACCAAGAGTGGATGACACATCCTCTACTGTGGTCTTGGATCTTGTTGGCACTCAAGTTTCAGTTTCATTTGCTTGATTGGATCTTGTCAAACTGAAGCCAACCATGATTAGAACTCTAAATATTTGTCGAAGATATAATATTATATTTGAATTAATTTAAGATGAAATTTTCTTTGGATAGGATTAGAGGATTAGTCAAATCGGCTTTCATATGGCAATTTTGTTAGAATTTGTTTGTGGTTGATTTTATTCTTTATCACTTCGTGAATCAGATTATAAATGATTGTGGCATATAAAATTATGATACTATATTTTATTATAAAATAAATATTTATGTGTAAAATAAAGATCGAAAGAGATTAAGAAAATAACCACATATTTACTAGGGATGGAATGAGTCACATATATAATAAGTTTGATATATGTTAATTCTGATCCATTTGATTAAGGCTCATAATCGATTTTAACATGCCATCAGAGCTAAACGAGTGAGTAAAAACAATAAATGATATAAAGAGATAAAGACCACCAACTCGGTACTCTCCTGACTCGTCAGTGATGCTCTTCATGTCTGTCTCCTAGTGTGTCATGAAGTTCACATCGGAGGTTTCAAAATGATGGAGAGAAGTCAATTCTCTCCAAGTGATTTCGTTTGATGACCTAATATCCTACATCCAATACCTCAATAACTTGTATCAAACATGGCTTGCACCATGTATCCCAAAAGTTTAAGCTCAAGTTGCATGAATGAATAGCCGATTAATTATGAATTTTCAGCATGTAATTCTTGGATTCAGCTCATACGTAAGCTTGGATGATTGATTTGAGCATTGAGCTCAAATCTGATTTATTAAAAATAAAAAACAGTGGAGATGTGCATAACGAGGGGTGCATGAACAAATAAAAGAACAAAGAGAGAAGAGAAAAGAGAAAATTAAGGTTTTGAGAATTTTGTTAGATAATCAATAAGCTAAATTTTATGTGAAGAATCCTTACAATAAACTCTACATTCTTAACTATACTGATCTACAGTTTATCCTCTCTAAGATACTTTTCTACTATACCCACTTGATAAGACATAAAATTTTCTTTTTATGAAATCCATCTATGGTGATGATGATATGTTATTATTGAGCGAAGATATGTGTTATTGATATTATTGTAATCCTCTAGTTATTCTGAAGAAGACTTATTATAAATTTATTATCATTATTGGTGATAATGAAAGTTTGAAGCGGACTATGATTCTGTAGTTTTTCCTGCATTAGGTTTTCCACATAAAAATTCGGTGTCTCACTTTATGAATGA